TATATCTACCTTTATTTAAAATTTGATTTTTTACTATTATAGCTCTTTTTATTATTATTAAGTTATTTACTCACTCTTTAAAATAAACTCTATTGGTATTGTTATTGTTAAAGACGTTAGTACGAACTAAAAACAAAAAAAGCTGGTTTCAGGTGAAAGAAAAGCAAATTGTAAGAAACATATTACAGGATTTTAGTGAAGCAAAGTCTACGTTGTTGGTTCTCATACGCAATTCATACTCGAGTTAAAGCTACGTATATGCACTCAAGGCAAAGCATAACAACAAAATTGAACGTAACGAAATTTCTAAATAAATGCAAGCTTAAATATCAAATAAAATGAAATGAAAAACTAAAAAATCGAAAAAATCAAATAACAAAAATGATAGTAGTGAATATAATTTTCAGCCAACTTACCGATCATTTTCGTTTTGCACCGAACTGCGCCCCGAGTGCACCGACTCACGCCCATCCGCCGTGACAGCGGCCAACGAGCTGCTATTTAAGCTAACATGGTCTCCACCTGCTGCGGCATGTGCACTCAAACTAGATGCCGTTGCAGCGGCTGCATGCCCATAATATTTCTTATACCACTCCGAATATGCCTGCGGATTGGTGCGCGCCATTTGCTCATAGTAATATGTAGCGTAGGGATCATAACCATACGCGCCCGGTGGATAGCCATACATGGCGGCATGGCGTGGATCGTAGCGTGCGCGCTCTTTCTCTAAATCACTATCACGTGCATTGCGTGAGCTTTGCTTGCGATACTCTTCGTATTCGCGCAGATCGGCGCGTTCACCACGCATTGATTTGTCGCCGCCGGCGCCGCGATGACGGCGCTCAATTGTATCGTAATCACTGCCACGATCGCGACGTGTACGCCGCTGCTCACGACGCTCATCATCCACATAGTTGCTGCGGCGCACATCGCGCCCCTCGTCATGGATTTTTTCGCCGCGTTTGGGCGCGCCACGTGGACGACGATTGTAGTCATCGTAGTCGCGCTCGCTACGGTCACTGCGTCCGGCGCGTTCATCATTGTGATGACGCGCGCCGCCGCGACGCGATTGCTCTTTGCGTCGCGCGCTCACATCCTCCACATCGTCGTCATATTGACGATTGTAACGACCACTGCGACGCAACGTATCCGATTTGCCATTATCACGTGTATAATACTTATCGCGTAACTTGTCACGTTCGTCGCGCTTATCTGCGCGTTCGCCAGCGCGTCGCCTCTTATCCTTGCCATAATCACGCTCTTCACGTTCGCGATCACTGCGCACGCTACCCTCACGATAGCCGCGACGACGGTCACGCTCGCGTTCGCGTTCACGATCACTTGAGTAGGGTTCGGAGCCCTCGAAATCATCGCTCTCGTAGCGATCGGCGGAGTTACGTTGTTTGTCGCGGCGCTGTTGACGATCAGGCACTTTGCGCTCCAACTCGCCGATTGAATGCTTGCGCGACTTATTGCTGCCGGCGCCAGTGTGACGTGTGGCGTGGTGATGATGCTGATGCTCCGGCAATGGATCGCTTTCATCATTTCCCGTCGAGGCATTGGATAGCTCCTTTGATTTCGTCGAATGATGATGATGATGGTGATGTTGTACATGATGATGATGATGTACGTCCTGACTCTCATCAACCGTTGGCGGTGAAGGCTCGTTGGTAGCAGCAGCGCCCTCTAAAGGCGGCTCGTCACGACTGTTTACCGTGAGTAGCGGTGGTTGTTGCTGCTGGTGCTGTTGCTCCTGTTGTTGGTCCTCCAAGTTCTCGCCGTCCAGTTCGATCTCGCGTTGGCCACTGGCGATTTGTGGCGGTGGCGCCGGCGCATTACTCTCCGGCGAGCGTTCAACGCCAGTAACGACGCGTTGCTCGTTGCTGATGTTGCTCTCACCAGGTACCAAATATAGATTGCGGTCTGTGGTTATATCAATGGTGTTGCTATTGTTGTTTGGCGTGCTAGTTGCTGAAGATAACAAAAACAAAATAATAAGGTTATAAAAAATAAAATACCCGAAATAGACCGCCTTACCTGTTAAATTGGTGGCATTGCCCAAAGCGCCACGCTGCGACGCATTGAGCAGCGTTACCGCTGGCACCTGCTCCAAAGATGTGTCCTCCCCATCGGCGTGCCGCTCGTCCATATGCATATTGGCCGGCTCCTCCGTACCGGTCACCATGCGCTGTGTGGCTTCTAGTAGTTCCGGCTGCCCCAACACCAGGCGCGATAATCCTGGCGGCGGTAGACTGTCGGCCTCCAAATTCAACTCCTCATCGGGATTCTCCGAAAGTGGGCTTGTCTGCAAGTACTGATTGCGCTCATCATTAGGCGGTGGCGGTGGAGGCGCCTCTGCCGCTGCTGCGCCCGGCAAAACAATAGTTTGTGTGGTGGGCAGCAACAACGATGTTGGCGGTATTGGCAAAGCAGTGCCCAACACTTCTTGATTTTCATGCAAGATTTCCGAATTATCCGGTTCCAAATGATTGAGTAGTGGATTGGCAAAATCTGCGGGCGGCGGTGGCACAGCAAAAGCGTTAGCTACAGCGCCAGCTGTGATTTGCTGCGGGGCAGTAGGTGGCGCTGCGATATTGACGCCGCGGTGATGTTGCGCTGCGCCAGCACGTTTGAAAGGATTACCCGCAGTGGCGGTAGCGCCGGGTGGTGGAGGCAAATTACTTGGTGATGACAAAGCAGGGGGTGGGTTTTGCAGTGGTAGACCGATAGTGGCGACGCCGGCAGGTGGGGCTGTGGGTGGCATGATTTCGGGCTGTATCGGGACTACTTCATTTTGGAATGCCTGTGGCGGTGTTAAAGCATTATCCAATGGCTCACTGGTCGGGCTGGCAACGCCTGGTGGCGAAGCGTATTGGCGTGAAGGACGCGAAACTGGTTTTGCTTGTGACACATAAACGGAGTTTGGAATGTTGCTGCCAACACCAACTGCAGCTGGGGGTGCAGCGCTAGGTGGCGCCGCGTGCGTAGGCGCTGTGGTATTGTAGTTTTCATTAGTCGTTTCGGAGAGCGGAAGTGAAGCGGGTTTACCTGCAAACGTGTAAAGTTATGAAAATGGGATAAATCAAAATAATAGTACAGAAGCGATTGCCGCAATTTGTTATACTAATTCTGACGATACTCACCCACATTCGCTGCTGCTGCTGTTGCCGCTGCAGCTCTCACATCATTCGCATCGGTCACGGCATATTCTGCGGCTTTCTGTTGTGGCACTTGAACGCTGCTCGCAACTTGCCGCGGCACTTGTGCCGCTTGACGATTATTTGTAGTTGGCACTTGAGGTGTTATTGTTGCAGATTCGTTCTCGACGCCTGTGCTGTGCGCGTTCGCATTGACGTCATCGCCAATATTCCAACTCCAGTTGTCGTTCGACTGCGCACCAAAACTTTCCTCGATTACATTGGGCGCATTGTAATTCGTAGGCTGCGCGTCAAATGCATTGAGCGGCGGTACCTGCTGTTGTACCGCCGGCTTATGTATGGGTAATTGCGTCGAGGTCGACGCCTGCTGCCCAGCTGGCGTTTGATCCACTTCACCTCCAACCACGTTGCCATTATCATTCCAGTCCCAGTCGCCCCAGCCATCGCTTCTGTTGTTCGCATTGCTATTGTCGAACAGTTCAGCAGCGGCTGGTTGTTGTGGCGGCGGCGGCTGTGGCATTTGTGTTGGCTGCTGCTGCTGATAGTGAAAATAGTTGGCCGCGTCAGGCGCTACTTGCTGTGGCGGCTGTTGATATTGTGACGTCTGTGCAGGTGGCTGCTGCTGTGTCCCTTGGTTGTGGTTTGCTGTGAAATAATTGTCGTATGTGGTTGGATGTGGATATGCTTGCTGCTGCTGCTGTTGCGGTGGCACGTTATTAGCCGTTGGCAGATCTGGTGGTTGCCAGATATTATGCGGTGCAGTTGTTTGTTGTTGCTGCGGCTGTGGATATAAATTGCTGGCATTTTGTGTTTGCTGCTGCTGTTGTTGTTGTGGCCAATTTTTGTTCGCGGCGGCAGCATTCGATTGCATCATTTTGTTTGGTGGCGCGTAAGGCTGTTGCTGCCAGGCGTTCGCTGCGACTGATGGCTGCTGCTGCTGCTGCGAAAAGGAAAACAATGGCTATTAAAAAGAAAAACTGGTTTGGAATTCGTAAAGTTTATGCAGAATAATTGCAGTCGCTCTTAATGGCATTTATTTTTTTCACTTTATTTGTGCAGATTTACATTGAAATGTTTTAATTTGCATATGTATATAGTATTTGCAATTAGTATGCTGTTTGGGTTGGTCTATTTTATTAGAAATAAAAAAAAAACATTAAAATAAACAACAAAAAAAAATTTAAGACGTTTAAATTTTTATTCTTAGAATTTCTTACTAACTGTATGTCATCTGTACAGTCTCAAAAT